GGCTATCTCTAACATCCCTTCGCTGTCTGATGTCACCGTCTCCGAGGCCATTGTAGGTCTCAAACCTCCTATTGTGTTAGCTCTTGAGTTGGCCTTAATTCGGGCAAAGAAGTCTTTTGTCATTGAATCACTGAGCTCATATTCGCACATTCAGGCTCTTATTTGTAGGCCTTTTAAATCCCACCACCTCCAAATAGCCAGTTCCTCTCGTGCCTTCTCAAAGATGTCATTATATAGTGGTGAGGAGGGGTTATTTATGAGGTTGGTTTCAACCAGTTTTAAAGCAAATTCTAGAATTTTGTCTCCTTTGCTTCCTTATGGACGCGAGCTTTCTAGAGATTTTAGCCGCAGTGATTGAGAGGATGAATAGCTTTTTTGGAACCAGTCCCATCGGGACTCTGTACTCAAGTGTGCAAACCTCTGTCCCATCCAACAGTCACATACCTCCTTTTGGAAGGTTTGGCTGAGTAGGAGGGAGTTGTTAAGCTTGTGGAAACTGGCACCCTTTTTGACCACTTGGTCAAAGCATAGCCCTAGCTCTATTGGTTTATGGTCCAGCCCTGTGTAAGAGACCAGAGGTAGTACCTCCGCACCCTTGACTGCCCCCATCATTATTTCTAACACCAAGAAATAATCAATTCGTGAGAAGGCAGTGTGATGTGCATGATTCTTCTTGACCAGGGTGAATGTTCTTTTAGTGGGGTGTATGGTTCTGTATGGTTCTACCAGATTGTGGTCCAACATCAATTCTTGAACCGGTATTGCTTCTGCTGAATTGATATTGTTGGAGGACCGAGATATACGATCTGTTATCGGGTCCATGGTGGCATTTAGTCGCCCGCCAAGATACAAGGGGTTAATGGTGGGATCAAATTTATAAGATTTGCCTGAATGGTCGTTCTCTCTGTACTCGAATTTGGTGCATATATGTTAATCAGTATAATTTCCTCTTCTTTCCATTTAAGGTGTAGTAGGCACCATCTTCCTTCAGCCAGATCAGCTTTCTTGTCTAGAATTGAACCTGCTTTGTATAGGCGAGAGGATTTGGGAATCAGGATTGCAGTCCCTTAGGAGCTTGTGGAGGGGTCTGCTGACCATATTTCGTCTTTTAGGCCTCCTAATTTCCTTGCCAGGAATGAGCGGATTCTGTCATGATCTATCGAGAAAGTGAGGTGAGTTTCTTGGAGTAGTAGAATATCCACTATTTTTTTGTTCTCCGTTGTTAACCCTGACAATAAATCGTTCAACTTTTCTTCTCTTTCCACTATATTCCCAAGTTCATTGACATTCCAGCTCCTAATGACAAGCCCTTGAGTTCTCCAATCAATGCGATCCCCTGCCTCGTTGGCTCTTAGTCTATAGCTCTCCATGGCTACCGTTGTACCCGGTCAGGGAGTTGTCTCAAGTTTTCTTTTTCCAAATTTTCTCATTTTAGACTTTTCGGAGCGTGCGCCCCATGCGCAGCACATCAGTAGCTATGGACTGCCACCGCACATGGTGCCTTGTCAAGTTACTGCGGTAAATTTTAACGGGGTATATCTCAAACTCTTGAGCTGTGGATAAGTAGTTTTAGGCGTGCACTTTTCAGCGAGTATTTTTGGCAGGTCTATGATGATTTTACCGTGTTCCCCTGTCACGTCAAGTTATTCTGGTAACTTTTTGATGAATCATGAATGAGAAGACACCGTGGCACTATGCGCTTTCAGGTTTCACCGTTTCAACCAAATCTACGGATATATTGGTACTTTGGTAGTCAAACAAAACATTAAAATGATATTAAAAATTTAAATCATAATAAAACATGGTAACCGCCCGGACGTCCGGACCGGGTTCCGGACAGTCCGGTGTCCAGTCCCCATGTCCGGATGGAGGCCCTTGGGGCAAAAATCAAAGAAAAAAATGGGGCGGCCCAGGACGTTTGTCGGGTCTTAGCTGCCCCTCGAAAAATATCGGGGTGATTTTTAAGTGTCCTTTCACCCCACCGGACATGGCCTAGAGGACCAGACACAAGACACTACAGGTTTTTGAGGTGGCGGGTTTCGCACAGGCCCAAGCAATTTCAAAGTGGCCGTTTCGACGTGCCGCCCGCCGTTGCTGCCCGTTGGAGAGAGAGAGAGAGAGAGAGAGAGAGAGAGAGAGAGAGAGAGAGAGAGAGAGAGAGAGAGAGAGAGAGAGAGAGAGAGAGAG